GGGAGGTGGAGGCGGGAGGGTCAAGAGCTCCGGGGTGCCTTCCACTATGTAAAATTCAAGGGGAGCCTGGGCTACATTCGATTCTGTCTCAGAAGGAGAAAAAGGAAGAGGAGCAGGGAGGAGAGAAGAGAGGGAGAGAGAAAAGGGAAGAGGGAGAAGGAAGAGGAGAAGGATCACTACTAGTAGATACTGAAAGGTCCAGTCACAAAAGTCACCCCAAAATGTTGTAACCAGTATTTAGAAATGTGCAATGGTAGGTCTCCAGATATCCATCCACCCATCCATCATCCATCCATCCATCCATCCATTATCCATCCATCCATCCATCATCCATCCATCTATCCACCCACTTACCTGTCCATCCATCTATCCACCCACTCATCTATCCATCATCCATCCATCCATCATCCTCCATCCATCCATCCATCCTCCATCATCCACCCATCCATCTATCCATCATCTATCCATCCATCCATCTATCATCCATCCATCCATCATCCATTCACCCACCCACTCACCTATCCATTCATCATCCATCCACCCACTCATCCATCCATCCATCCATCCACCCACTCACCTATCCATCCATCCATCATCCATCCATCCACTCATCCATCCATCATCTATCCATCCATCCATTCATCCATCCATCATCCATCATCTATCCATCCATCCATTCATCCACTCACTCACCTGTCCATCCATCCATTCACCCACTCACTCACCTGTCCATCATCCATCCATCCATCCATCCATCCATCCATCCATCCATCTATCCATCTACCTGTTCCTTTACTCACTTGGTTATTTAGTCAATAATCAGGATTAGAACCCTGGCAGAAAACCCTGAGGAACTTTCAGCTCAGGGCAGGAAGCAGAGCAGGTCTTCATCATTGCAAAGAAAGGGCAGAAAATGAAAACACAAGACTCCAGGGGCCAAGTGCGGGGAACACAGGATGAAAGTGGAAGAGTGGATGAAGGGCCCTCGGGGGAAAACTGGCCAAGGAAGAGCACTTTAAAAATACTTTAAGGGGTTGGGGATTTAGCTCAGTGGTAGAGTGCTTGTCTAGCAAGCGTAAGGGCCTGGGTTCGGTCCTCAGCTCCGGACAAAACAACAACAACAACAACAACAACAACAACAACAACAACAAAAAACCACTTTAAATAGTCAGTCAGTGGTGGCGCACACCTTTGATCCCAGCACTTGGGAGACAGACGCAGGTGGATCTCTGCAAGTTTGAGGCCAGACTGGTCTACAGAGTGAGTTTCAGGACAGCTTAGGCTACACAGAGAAACCGTCTTGAAAAACAAAACAAAACAACAACAACAAAAAAGAATATTTTTCTCTGTCTTCCTCCCTGTTCTTTCTGAAACAGGGGCTCATGTACTCCAGAAAGGCCTGGGACGACTCACAATGCAGCTGAGGATGACCCTGAACTAATCATCCTCTTGGACTACAGGAGCACAGCATCACATGAGGCTCTCTCTATGAAGGATCCTTTATCAGGGGAGTAAGAAGTCAAAATGGGCCAGATTTGGTGGCTAATCCTCCTCCCACATCCTCTTTGGCTGGTCCCTCTCCCTTCTACAGCCAGCTCTGAGGCCTCCACCTCCTTCATGGCCGCCTGGCGCAGAGATATGGCACATGCTTCTGACACACATCTGGCCTCAAGGCAGCTTTGGAAAGGAAATTCTGGGAAAGGAGGACCAGCGTTCTAGGGCCATCTGAGGCCAGTCAGGTGCCATCCAGAGTTCACATTACAATCTGGAGCCCTGGATAATCTGGACTTCAGTAATTGATTCCACTAATTCACAATATGTCAGTTTTGACAATTACATGAAAAAAAAATTTTTTTTCAAGACAGAGTTTCTCTGTGTAACACCCCTGGCTGTCCTGAAACTCTCTCTGTATACCAGGCTGGCCTCGAACTCAAAGATCTGCCTGCTCTGCCTCCCGAGTGGCTGGGATTAAAGGCCTGTGCCACCAAGGTACAGCAAAATAAAGTTTCTTAAGACAAGTGAAAGGGCAGGGTGTGTGGAACACGCCTTTGATCCCAGCAGTACAGAGGCAGAGGCATGTGAATCTTTGAGTTCAAGGCCAGCCTGGTCTACAGAGAGAGTTCCAGGACAGCCAGGGCTGTTACACAGAGAAACCCTGACTCCAAAAACAAAACCAAACAAAAACCACCACCAACAAAAGACAAGTGAAGGGAATCACATTTGGCACTACCTCCAGCCAAATGAAGAGCACTGCGGCCAGCATGGAGGATCTGAGCACCTCTGCCAGCAGATGCTGCTGACACCCACAGCTTTTCTCTGCATCACAACGCTCTGCAGACTCTGATCACGGTGTGAACAATCGTTTGGGTAAGGGAGTGATGGTAAGAAGCCTGGCTGTGTCCAGCAATCTCCCCTGGTCCCGCCCTAAGACCTCTGCCATCTTACTCGGCAGACAGAAGGACTCAGTGGCTGGCACATTTTTTGCTGTTGCTGTTTGTTTTGCTTTATTATATTCCATTTTGGGGGGGTGGGGGTGCGGGGAGGTGCATGCGTTTGTGTGAATGAGTAGGCCAGAGGTCGATGCCAGCATCTTCCTCCATTGCTCTCTACCTCAGTTTTTGAGACTTAGTTTCTTGCTGAACCTGGAGCTCAATGATTAGGTAGGCAAGACTAGCTGCCATCAAGTTCAAAAGTGTCTGCCTCCTCAGTGCTACAACTACAGGCATGTGCCACCATGGTGGGGGGAGGAGCTTACGTGGATGCTGGGCATCTGAACTCAGGTTCTTACACTAGCTCGTAGGTAAGCATTTACCAATTGAGTCATTGCCTAGACTACTTGGTTTTTTGTTGTTTGTTTGTTTTTTGTTTTTGTTTGTTTGTTTGTTTTGAGACAGCATCTCTTGTAATCCAGCCTGGCTTTGAACTCCTTAATCCTCCTGCCTCCACTGCCAGAGTGCTGACATTGCAGACAGACATGTGTCGCTATACCCAGAAGGCTGGAGAATCTTCAATACAAGGAAAACTGAATTCCACTCTGTATCATCCCAGACAGGAAAGAGCTGAACATGGGCACAGGACAGAAGAGGTCTCCCATTCTGGGCTCGGACAGTGGGATATCCATGGAAACAATACTCTGCAGACCACAGTGCTCTCCCTGAAGCGGTTCACTGCTACTCAAAGTAATCCAAGTAATTCCCTGCTTACTAAGCGGAACAGACTTAAAGGATTCTGACTTCTCAGCCTTTGAAGAGCCATCACTTCGGAAAGCAGGGGCTGTGACTTACTATTTTTTGTGATACAAGAGAGTGAGCCCAAGGCCTTGCACATGTTACGTGGCCCACTTTAAAGCTTAGTGAAGACCTGGGCAGTGGTGGCACATTCCTTTAATCCCAGCCCTCGGGTGGCAGAGGCAGGTGGATCTCTGTGAGTTCAAGCCCAGCCTGGTCTACAAAGCAAGTTCCAGGACAGCCAGGGCTGTCACAAAGAGAAACCCTGTCTCGAAAAACCAAAACAAAACCTCAGTGCAGGCCAGGATACTGCCTCAGAAAAATGCACCAATGAGTCTCTCACTATTGACAGTAGATGGAGCCTGGGGCCTTGCACTTGCTCTACCACTGAGCCACACTCCCAGTCCCCCTCCAGCTGTTCTAACAGACACACCCCAGTGAGCTGCACTCATTGGCGACCAGCTCCGAGTCTAGTATTTACGATTTGAACTGGGAATTAAATGACAGTGGGACCTGCACAGAGTCACACAATGTGGGGAGCCACACACTTCAGCTTTAGGAAGTTCAAAAATAGCTCCCTACACATTCAGCAAAGACTGGAGACAGCCGGGCAGTGGTGGCGCACGCCTTTAATCCCAGCACTCGGGAGGCAGAGCCAGGCGGATCTCTGTGAGTTCGAGGCCAGCCTGGACTACCAAGCGAGTTCCAGGAAAGGCGCAAAGCTACACAGAGAAACCCTGTCTGGAAAAAAACAAACAAACAAAAAGACTGGAGACAGTCCTCCATGAAAAACAGAAGATCCTATTATAACATGACAAAGGGACAGGGGCTTGGTGGAAGTGAGTGCTTGTGAACAACCATGGACACAGGAACTCTAAAGAGTCCATGGATGCTGAGGGTTTGGTGGTTAGTCTCCATCATCAAATTCATTAGATTTTGGATCCCCCAGGAGAGACATCTCCAAAGGGCTTTTCCAGCGAGGGTCAGCTGAGGAAGGGCCTGGCATACGGTGGTGTTATCCATGGACGAGGGACTGTGCTGGTGGAAGTCCCACCTCTCTGCCCAGACCCTGTCCCTCAGAAAGTCCCGCCAAACATGGCTCCTCCCCCAGAGACGCTCAAGACCACTCCCACAGGGTATTTAAACTGCCCTCCAGAAAACAGACAGGTGGTTTTTGGGTCTCTCATCCCTGTCTCTTCTCTGGAAGGAAGGATAATCACCTAGGAGCACTTTATCCATTAAACCGGGGCTTTTTCTAATTTGGTCTGATTTGGATTGTTGTGTCGGTGGAGAGGCCTGTCTGGGTGCAAAAACTTTTCAGGGACCAAGACTGAACACCAGCATTCACCTCTCTCTGCTTCCTGACTACACTCAGATTCCTCACCTTCCTCACCACATGGAGTGTATGTGCGCCAGAACAACCCCAAATTCCTTAAATTGTCTTCATTGGTGTTTAGGTGGAAGCCCCATCTCAGCCCCATCTCTCTCTCTCCAGACCCTGCCCCTGAGAAAGCCTGCCAAGCGGCGGCTCCTCCCCCTGAGATGAGATCACGGCTACAGGGTATTTAAGACCTGGCCTATAGACCTGCTGGGTGGGTTCTCCTCTTCCCCTGGGACCACCCAGGAATGCTTTGCTCAGATTAAACCTGGACTTATTAATTTGGCCTGATCTGACTTGTTGCACTACCGGGGGATATTTTACTTATCAGCTGGGTATTTTGTCATAGGAAAGGGAAAAGTCGCTAACACAGAGGTAACTGTGTGGGGACTCACCTGGCACCTCTGGGGATGAATTGAGAATCATGAAGGCATCTGACAGGCCTGCCTTGACAGGGTGCTGGGCAGAGCTGATTTCCAGGACAGCCATAGGGATCTGCAATGGGAAGAAGAGGCACCGGCCATCCACCCGGAACCCTCTGCAGCCACAAAGTCCCCACTCAAAGCTCCACAGCCAGCTGTCTGCTCAGCACTTGAGGACTCGAACCCCTGGAGTCAAGTCCTAGGACTCCTGCACTTAGTCCTCCATGGACCCTCTGGCTCCACCCAGGCCGGAAGTCGCCCTCGGCCTCTCCCTTTCTCTTCTCTCTACTTTCCCTCTTCTCAGCCATCTCCAAATACTGTGAGTTAACCCAGTGGCTCCTATATCTGTCTGGTTCTCTCATCTCCCTTCTCCAAGCTGTATCACGTCCCTAGACCATCTCCCAGCATTCCCTTAAATCTTCAACAATCTGTCCTCCGCTCAGGAGCCACAGTAGCCTTTTCCAAAGGTGCATCTGGTTGTTCCGTGTGCCATCCTGTCCCCCCACTCTCCACTCCAGAAAAGCCACCTTCATCTAGTGCTTTGTATAAACCATGCTCTGTCCTGCCACAGACCTCGGCATGCCATTCTCTCCTCCACGTGGTTGTGTGGTTGGAAAGAAAATGACCCCCAAAGGGAATGGCACTGTTAGGAGGTGTGGCCTTGTTGCAGGAAGTGTGTCATTGTGGAGGCGGGCTTTGAGGTCTCATATATGCTCAAGTCACGCCCAGTGAGACAGACCACTTCCTGTTGCCTGTGAGTCAAGATGTAGAACTCTCAGCTCCTTCTCCAGCACCATGTCTGCCTGCATGCTGCCTTGGTTCCCACCATGACGATAACGGACTAAACCTCTGAACTGTAATTGAGCCACCACAATGAAATGTTTTCCTTTAGAAGAGTCGCCATGGTCATGGTGTCTTTTCACAGTGATAGAAACCCTAAGTAAGACGGTGCTTCATTCTTTTCTTTCCTTCCTTCACTCCTGTTCATCCTGCAATTTTCAACCCTTTTCCTCAGGGAAGCTTCCCCTGGCCTCTGACAACGTGAAGATCCCCACAGCAGGCTTTTAGCACCGGAAGCCTTTATGCAGGGGCACTATAATCTGACTGGCACTTCCATATTGGTCTTTGTAACCATCTCTCTCAATCTGCATAAGCACCAAGTCCACAGATAAGCCCAGAGCTGTCTTGGCACCGAGTCCAGTGCCCAGCACACTGCAGATTATCCATAAAGATTTGCTGGATAAATGGGAGGCTCTAGAGCGTGCTCACCTCTTTGTAGCCGAAGACAATGCGGCCATCTTGATGAAGGGCTGCCTGGAATGTGAAGCTGCCCCTGTCCTCTCGGCCTTGGAGGTAAACATGGTCCCACTGAACCACAAAGACTGTCCCTGAGGAGAACAGAGACCTGGCTGAACAGGGAGTCAGTGCAGGGGGACCCAGCAGACGTGGTAGTCAGAGACAAGGGGCCATTTGTGAGTTTGAGAAGCAGGAACGGGACAACCCACACCACTAGTCTGGTTTCCGAGCTACAGAGGCCCCCGAAGATCCTGTTCCTGCCCCAGTTGCTCATCTCCTACTGTGTGCGTACCCCTTCTTCCTTGCCTATCCTGACCCCTGGAGACAAAATGGAAAATGGAAATGTCTGTCTCCTGGGGGGGTGGGGCTGACGAGAGTGAGAAGTAGTGGAGGTTCCCGAGAAAGCTTTCGTCTCTTCATCTGGCTCAACGGTCCCCTTCTTACAGTGAGAAAACAGCCTGGGGTGGGATGGAAAGGTGGTTGTCTGCCTGTGTGACTGTGGGCCCAGGAAGGGGTTAGGCCGGGACCCCCCAGTGCAAGGTGAACTATCCTCTGAGATCGGACCTCACCATTGTCAAAGTAAGCAACTGTGGAGTTGTCAGAGTAGCCAGGGTTGAAGTTGGCCATCAGGGGCGCCACATACTGAGTAGCTGTGAGCATCCGGTGGAGCACGTCGCCCATGAAGATAAAGCCTGTGGGAGAGAGGTTTGGATGCATTACTAGATATGACTCAAGGGGCTGCCTCCAGGGCTGCCCACTCCCACAGGCAGGGGCTAGACGTGAGCCTTGTGGTCTTATCCCCTCCCCACCCGGCGGGCTCTGGACTTGGTGAGATAGAAAAATGGCCCAGACTAGAGAATGCTTGTCCCTTGTCTCTGGGTAGGGGAAGGAAGAGGAAGTGAGTCCCATCTTCCCCAGTTTCAGGGAAAATAGGAAATAGAATGAAAGTAACAGGAATCAAAGAGACTCCTCGTATCCACAGGGCCCTGGTCCTTGCTTCCTCAGGCTCAGACTCAGAAGTGGAGATCCCAGAGCTATGCAGACTGACTGTGTTGGTCCAGCGGGATGGATGCGTGCGCATGCACGCACACACACACGCACGCACGCACGCACGCACGCAGGCAAGCACACACACACACCACACACCAGTCACCGGATTTGAGTGGGACATTCAAGATATTCCCTGACTGCCTCCTCAGCCCACCTATCCTCCTGTCTCCAGTGAGTCCCTCAAGAGCCTCCCTGAGTCAGGCTGAGACCTCCAAGCGCCCTCCCCTCAACCTCACTGGCTTTTTCCTTACCTCCAGTTGCTATGGTGATCTGCCGCAGAGGATGCCCGTAGAAAGGGAAATCAAAGGACAAGACCACTCTCTGCAGGGACAGGAGAGAGTCCCCATGGGTAGAGCTGCCAGCCAAATACTGGTCACCCTCCCTGCTCCAGATTTGTCTGAACAACATGGGCATAAGCATATCCAGGGTAGGCCCCTTAGGACTACAGCAGAGTACGCGCACTGAGCATTCTCTGACCGTACCTACCCCAGATCACAAACCTCAGGCCATAACCATGTCCACATCCAGGCAGTCAATGCTGGCCTAGCCCCCAGCCTCCCAGCCCAGGCTGTCCTGCTAGGCCTAGGCACTCACCGAAGCCTGCCGGTGAGAGCTTGAGAGGATCCTGTGGACCTTCACGTGGCTCCGGTTGGCTACGGCTATGTCCACCCACAGATCCTGGCTGCGACGCTCACCAGGACCATAGACACGGGACACATAGTAGTTGTGGTTGTCTTCCTGTGGGGACAGAGAGAGAGCCCATGGGAGGTGTGATGAGCCAGGTAAGCTGGGCACCACTCTCCGCCCCTCCCTACCCAGACTTCCCCCAGATCCTCCTGGCCCAGAGCACTGGACCCACTGCTTTCAGCCTGGGAGCTTCCGGAACAACCCTGGAGAGCACGGTCCTGCACCATTCCTCACAGGTTTGGCCCTAGCCAAATCCACAGGAGCTCCATTTGGGCTCAGCTCTGTCCTGCCCAGACAAGCCAGAGGCTTATCCTGTAACCCTGGATGTTTCAGATGACAAAGGCCAAGTTCAACATTGGAGACAGGATGGAGAAAACCACAGATAAAGCCTTTGTCTAAAAGGAGCGTGCTGAGACCACAGGGGATGCAGAATTGCTGACCTGCCCTAAGAAAAAAGAGAAAAACATCTACAACAACTAGGTCTTAGATGACTAAGGGAGAAGGCGGTTTCTGGTCTGTTGGAGGAGACAGGACACAGGCACAGGAACACTCAGTCGTGGGCATGAACAGAGTAGAGAGCAGGCAGCTGCACTCTGATTGCGTCACCAGATGGAGAGAAGGATGAGAGAAGCGAGGAGTCCCTCACGGGATAATTTTGCATCTCCCTGTATGGCTGATGGGGATGCCACAGCCGGCTGGGTTCATTCCACAGCCTCCCTCGGAGGAGCATCTGGGGCCAGGGCTTATAGCAGGGCAGGGAAGGGGCTGGCAGAAAGAATGGGAAAGCCAGCAAGCAGGACTGTGTCTCAGCACTTCCTGGAGCTGGCCCAAGAGCACCTCACAGAAGGCTAGTGGCAGCAGCAGGAAGGTCAGAGGCTCTGGAGGCTGCCTCGGGCACAGTGATGTCCTGGGCATCACGGATCGTTAATCAGGCTGCCGACAGCAGAGCAAACCATGTTCTTCCTGTCGAGCTGCCAACTGCCCAGCCAGCCCTTGGCCTGAGCCCAGTAGGAGCAGGGAGCTGGGGCCCTGATCACTGCATGCCTACACACCAGCAGACTATGATTCTGATGAGTGACACTCTCTGAACACATTTTTGGAGACTTAGGGTTGGGGTGGGCTTGGAGAGAGAAGTAAAGGAACATGGGAAGTTCTGCTGGGACCACCTGCTATTGCAAGTCTACAGCTGGTTGCTCTATATTCCCGTCTCAAACAAAACAGTTTAATAAAGGCCAGCTTTGGGCTGTCACTCCTGCATGAGTGACTGCCGGGAGTCACCAGGAGCTAAGAAGCTTCAAGAACAGGCCCTTCCCAGGGCCTCCAGAGGGAAAGTGGCTTCAGTCTCTAGGCATGAGGGAGGAGAAATGGAATAATACTTTCTTGTGGCCGAAAATGAATTCAGGTGCCCACAGCTGAGTGCCGCTCGGGCTCAGTGGGGACAACCTGGAGCTGTTTACCACTCTCCCTGTCACCCCCTGCTTAGGACACCATGGCGTCCAGCTAAAGAGAATGAATGTCAGGCCTCTTACCACAGTGCACAAGGCCCTGTGGGGCAGAATCTGCCCAGCCAACATCCACTCCCAACTCCTCTCTCCTAAGGGAACATTGCAGGAAGTAACACATCCCACCTCCACCAACAAAACAGAAAACCAACACCTGGCGGTTGAGGTTCTGATGGAGTCTTCTGAAAGGAATCCAATAGCTTGTCCCCGTTAGTTTTTCCCTTTTCCTTGTCCTATCGGACGTGCAGCCATGATGGCTGGATCTCCAGCAACCACATTGTAAACTTAAGGCAAGCACCACATCATAAGGATGGAGAAGAACAGAGCTGGACGGGGCCCAGATCTTTGATGTCTTGTTGGAAGGATGTCCCTTAAGTCTCTGATGCCTGTCACCTAAACAAACCCTTACAGATGGTGGTGGTCTGAGCCCCTCCCCTCCCCCATCCCTGTACCTTCCTTTCTCTCCCTGTTTCCTGGGTTCCCATCTGTTGGGTTTCTCTCTGTTCTGGAAGTCATCAAGTCTGCCTTGGGGCCTTGGTGACTCCCGTCCTTAAAAATTTTTTCCCATGATCCTTTCAAAAGATGGCTCCTCACCCAGGCCTGTTACACATGCCTGGAATCCCAGAACTAAGGTAATCATCAACTACAAGTGAGGTCGAGGCTAGTGTGGGCTACATGAGACCCTGTCTGGGGTGAGGGCAGAGTACTTGACGCCTCAGTGAGGGGTCACTCCCTAAGAAGCCATTCCACACCCTGAGTCTCTCCCTCAGAGCTATCTTACCTGGCTTCTTCAAGTTTTCTTTCATTAAGATTTACTTACTTCATATGTGTGAGTGTTTTACCTGCATGTATGTGTTTTGTCTGCAATGTATGTCTGTGTACCATGTGTGTGCCTGGTGCCTGAAGAGGCCAGAAAAGGATATCAGATCTCCGGCAACTAGAATTACAGACTATTGGAAGCTGTCATGTGGGTGCTGAGAGTTGAACCTGGGTCCTCCAGAAGAGCAGCTGGTGCTCTTAACCGCTGAGCCAGCTCTCCAGCCCCCCTTACCTGACTTTTATACCCATAAGACACAAGTTCCCCGAGGGCAGGGTCTGCACTCCCCTCCAGAGCTCTGTCCCAGAGCAGGGCTTACTGAGCAGAGTCCAGACACGGGACACAGTTCAAGGCCTGCATAAGCGCCGTCTGTCTTACAGCTTCTGTCATTGGTTCTGAACACAGATGGCGTTACCAAGCGCGACAGCAGGAGAAAACAGGGGTCTTAGGGACTTGAGCCCCACCCCCTCCCGGGAACCTGAGCACCCAGGCTGAAGATGGCACTGTGGCTGAGGGACGCATCGGTTTAGTCAGCCTGCTTCCTGGGACTCACAAGGTAAGAGCGTCCCTAAACCTGGGAGAGAAGCTGCGACTCTCTGACAAACAGAAGCCAACACGTCTCTTGTTTCCTCCTGTAGAGAGTGGATTCTTGGAACGTGTCTGGCTGGTCCTTGCTCTGAGTCCTGTGCATCATGTAACAACCCATGGCACAGTCGAAAGGCCCTGCTGGCGCTGGTCAGCTAAGGAGCCAGGTGACAGCCCAACTCCCAGCTGCAGCATTTGAGGGAGGTGCATGGGCTTATCGACATCTCTGAGATGACAAAGATTGCATCTGTTCAAATTCAAGGGCAGTTTGCATTTAAGGATCTGTCACCTGTAAGTCTGTCCTGTCCTGTCTAGTTGCTAATAACAGGACAGGCTGGGTAAGTGTAGCTCAGGGTCTGCTCCAGCTTGGAGGGGCAGCACCTGATGATGGCTTTCTTGCTGGCAGATCCTGAAGCAATGCAGGCCACCAGAACATAGACACAAAGGGAACATGTACATGTGCTTCACATGCACCCACACTCCAAGTCACAATGCACATACACACAGCACATGTGTGCATGCACATATAGGCACAGACATACATGTACCTGTATGGAAACAAACACATGCACGAAGACACATGTACACATACTTACACATGCAAATGTTCACACATTCAATTCATGAACATACACAGGTGTGTGGGCACATATAAAAACACTTGTGTTGGGATAATCTTTTTTTTTTTTTTTTTTTTTTTTTTTTTTTTTTTTTTTTTGGTTTTTCGAGACAAGGTTTCTCTGTGTAGCTTTGCGCCTTTCCTGGAACTCACTTGGTAGCCCAGGCTGGCCTCGAACTCACGGAGATCCGCCTGGCTCTGCCTCCCGAGTGCTGGGATTAAAGGCGTGCGCCACCACCGCCCGGCGGGATAATCTTTTTGTACACTGTGAAGATATGTCTCTGTCTTACCACACCTGTCTAAGGCACCTTCTGATTGGTTTAATAAAGAGCTGAATGGCCAATAGCTAGACAGGAGAGGATAGGTGGGATTTCCAGGGGGAGATAGGAACTCTGGGAAAGAATCTGAGGCAGGAGATTCACCAGCAAGACATGGAGAAAGTCAGATGTACAATACTGAGGAGAGGTAACGAGCCACGTGGCAGAACACAGGTTAATAAAAGCAGGCTAACTTAAGTTTTAAAAGCTAGTTGGGAACAAGCCCAAGCTAAGGCCAAGCTTTCATAATTAATAGAAAGTCCCCATGTCATTATTCAGGAGCTGGTGGTTCAAAGAAAGACCCACTACACACATGTGCACATGAATGATAACACATATACATGCATACATGTATACATCCACATGCACAAAAGGCACAGGTGTACACACAGGTACACAGAGTTGAACACACACCACATACATACATATTCATGCATAGGTGTGCACAAGAATGTGTATACACACACACTAGTGCACATTATACAAGTTTATGCACACAAAGACACATGTTCATAGATGCCCACATGTACAGATAAATGCACACAGATACATAACCAAATACATAAGTGTAAGCCTGTGCATGCAGATGCACAGGCTCACACATTTAAACAAGTGTTTGCACACACATGTAAAAACATACTGACACATGCACATGTGCACACACATGCATATATACTAATAAGTGTGCATGGAAAGAGAGACAGGGTCTCTCTATGCAGCTCAGGCAGACCTCGAACTCTGACCTTATATCTTAGCCTCCTAAGTGCTGGAATTACCAGTATAGGCCACCACACTGGGCTTTTCCCTCTTATAAAGCCTGCATGGTCACTGGGCAGTGGTAGTGCATGCCTGTGGGAGACCTGCTCCCACTTTTTCTCCACGGTACTCTTGAGGAGGGAGAAGTGAGAAATGTTTAGACAGAAGGATAGAGGGGAGAGAGACAGATATAAACACAGGATAGCTTGGGAGGGCCTGGATCAATATCCACCAGCCCCTTCTGTCTCTTCTAAAGGGCTATTTATAGAAATGTCCAGGGTGGTGGCGGCGGCGGCGGCGGCGGCGGCGGCGGCGGCGGCGGCGGCGGCGGCGGCGGCGGCGGCGGCGGCGGCGGCGGCGGCGGCGGCGGCGGCGGCGGCGGCGGCGGCGGCGGCGGCGGCGGCAGCAGCAGCAGCAGCGGCGCACGCCTTTAATCCCAGCACTCAGAAGGCAGA